AATAAGAGTTACAATCTTTGTGCTATTCTGTGGGAAGGGTAGCTCTGAAAGGTATAACGGACTATACGAAGCATTGAATCAGTTTGAAGGTGTATTTCTGTGCTTGTAAAGTAGCCAACTGCTGGGGTTCACTTGCAACAAATGGACAGGAATATGACATAACGTGGAAAGGCGTATTTGGGAAGTGGAGCAGAAATGTATACCCTGAGGTAACTCTGATGATGGGTTGGGGATTAAAGGAATGTCCCTTTATGCTTTCCAGAAGTGGTTATTGGTCTGTTTTGGTAATGGAGGGATCAGCCAGCGCACATAAGCTTTTAGGTTTTGGAAAGAATTATATCCTTATATCTCTTATTCCTTGACCCTGTTTGAGTAAAAACCTATAATGAAGAAATTAAACCAGCATCCCACCTGGTTTACTCCTTGCCTTTATTATTTATTAAATATTTATTTATTTTATTTTTTATTTTATTCGATTTATATGCCGCCCTATCTCCCAATGGACTCAGGGCGGTTCACAATAATAAAAACACAAGCCACAATACAAAATAAAATCTAAAATCTAAAAAATTTACAATTTAACTCTTAAAACCCGCCATCAGACCAGGTCAAGCGATTTAAAAAGCCAAGTTTTTAATTCACGACGGAAGGTGCGAAGGTCAGACGCTAATCGGAGCTCCAAGGGAAGTTGATTCCAGAGGGTGGGCGCACCCACCGAGAAGGCTCTACCCCTGGGGGCCACTGGCCAGCACTGTCTAGCCGACGGCACCCTGAGCAGGTCCTCTCTATGGGCGCGAACTGGGCGATGGGATATCGTTGCTGGCTGTAGGTGATCCGCCAAATATCCTGGGCCTAAGCCATGTAGGGCTTTATAGGTCGTCACCAGTACCTTGAATCTCACCCGGACGGCAACCGGTAACCAATGCAAGCTGCGCAGGAGGGGTGTAACATGGGAGTATCGGGATTCTCCCATCACAACCCGCGCGGCTGCATTTTGCACCAGCTGAAGCCTATTTATGCATATTTGTTCTAGTATAAAATTTACAATGAAACACTTCTGTGCTATTCATTCATTTATAAAATAACTGACTGTTTAAATATTGCAATACAATCATTCTCTACTCAAATTCTCATTCATTCAAGCTATTAAATGCCTTCCCTCCTGGCTTAGTTTACCCTCTTTAATTTCTTTAGAAGTTCATATTACCTTTACCTTCTATTCTGCCTCTCTTGCAGCAGCAGTGAAGTTTTCCATATATGTTTCCAACAGCATAAGAAATGCACAGTATAGTTCTGTGTGAGCTGTTCTCCATTTCATTGGCTACCCAATTATACATTTATCAATTATTGAAGAAGTATCACTTGAAAGTTTTATCTCTTTTCTTTTAAGGAGGGCAATGCTGGGTGCAGAAGAGAAATTGTTTTGTTTTGTTTGTTCTGCAAGGGTATCTGTTTGCAGCATGTAAGGCCCAGTGTCGCTGCTATGTAACAATATACGTGAAAACAACATAATTCATGTATAATAGGTTCCTGTAATTTTCCTTTTTATCTGCACTAACATCATTACATGCTACTTTCAGCTGTATTTGTTTCATCCGATTCAGGCATTTCAGTTGTTTTTAAAGGTGAATGGTGGGTTCAAATACACAGATGCTTGATGGGAATAAAAACAAATTACAAGTACTATAATTCTGAAATAAAACAGGAATACATTAAACCAAGCCACCTTTACATCCGTTTCTAATTTTTTAAGTGCTTTTCTTAAGTGGAGTGTTTTTCTTCTGAACTGGACAAATCATTGTATAGACATAGATATAGGCAAAGATACATGCAGATATTTCCTTTCTGCTATTTATTTATCAAGTTATGCCGTCTTTGACCGTAAAAAGGATTTCCTTCTAATTCATCATCTTTAAAAAACAAAACAAAACAAAAGCACCTATCACTGAGATGAAAAGATACTAAACTTATATTATTCCTGATGTTCTTTTAAAAAATCAAGGAAAATATATTTTTCTGTGTTTAAAATAGGGATATACTGGCAAAAGTGGACAGTGCTGGCATTTTTCATTCCAGCTCTTGCTAAAGAAATCACAGTAAAGTGCCAAGTTATGTCTGGCCCCAAGGTTAAAGGCGTTCATGGTTCATTTGACATTAGCAATCCATTATATACCTTTTTTAAAAAATTGGGTTCTGTGGACCCCTAGGGTTTAGTGAAGATTTGAATGGACTAAAAGAGGGGGGGGGAAACTCTCTGAAAATGATGAAGGGTTTTTCTCCCTTAGTCCTTAATGGAAAAGTCTCCACAAGAGGAGAAAAAAATTCTATAAAGGATTAAAGAAAAACTGTCTATAAGTGACTAAGATGAAAAACAAAAAAACAAAAAAATTCTCTTTAAGGAACGGATAATTTTTCTCCTTTAGTTCTTTGCACAGAATTTTTTTTCTTAAACACTGAGGCACAGCAGAATGTCAGCTTCCATTCAAAAGCCCATCCCCCTTGGTCAGACATTCTGAGGGGAATTTTTAAAAATATTTTTTTGTTGAATAATTTTTTTATAAAGTTAAAAAGATAAATACAAGCCAATGTACAGAAAAAAGGAAAAGGATGAAGGCTATTGCTGAGCACATTGTAAGCCGCCCTGAGTCTTCGGAGAAGGGCGGCATATAAATCAAATTAAAAAAAAAAAAGTGTTAAAGCAATAAAAAGGAAAAAAAAGGAAACAGAAAACAGAAAAAAGTTAAAAAAAACAACTTCCAATCTTCTCTACTGCAGTTATAAATATATTTAAAGCCATGTCTCCCCTTCAAAATTATATACATAATTTTGCCTCACATATGCCTCTTTCAAGTGTTAAACAAAGGAACTGGAGATCTACTGTAAGAAAATCAGTGTTCTGCTATGGTATAAGCAGCTCTTTTTCCTTCCAGCTCCAACTATTCATTTCATGGTATGTGTGATGAGGTTTCCTTTTGATAAAGGTATACAAGTGGAACTATAGGGGCAGAAAATACACTGCTCAAAAAAATAAAGGGAACACAAGTAGAAGACATCCGAGATCTGAATGAATGAAATAGCCTTATTAAATACTTTGTTCGTTACATACAGTAGTTTTGTGTTCCCTTTAGTTGTTTGAGCAGTGTATATAGCTCTGTTTTGTTTATCTCTAAACTGCTCAATATCTAAGCAGAGTTTCTCTGGAATCTCAAGCATCCATTCCTAATACAATTCAAGACAAACATGGAAAGTGACACACTAAGGTATTCATGATCCTAATGGAGATATTTTTTTTAATGGTATGAAGAGCAACTCTAAATGAGGTGATTCCATTTGCTCCCACTGATTGTATAATCTGGTTTATATCATTGGTCAAGCAAATAAATCCTAAACTCTTATCAAGGCTACACGTGGAGGCCAGGTAGCTTATACAAATTCAAGCAAGGATTGCCAAGAGAAGCATCTGGTGCAATGCATTCCAGCAAGACAACTATGGTTGCAGATGGGTGTGATTTATCTGGACAGTATTGAATTGGGTGGAGGCTGAATGGCGAACAATCAAAAGCAAGGAACCATGTTTGTTGTGTTGGATCAGCAAAGGAAGTATGTTTCAGATGCCTTTAATATTTGAAAATCACCATTAATAGTTAAAGAGATACCCTAAATCAGTGATGGCTAACCTTTTTGCCATCGCATGCCAGGATTGGGGGGGGGGCACGGGGGAGGTTTGCACGCAAACGTTCCCACACCCATAATTCTATGCGTCCCACCCTGCGCATGCACGCATAACCTTCCCCTGCTCCTGGCAAACGATGGCCCGGTAGGCCCGTTTTTCTTTCTCACCTGGCTCCAGATCCTCTCTATGCATCTGGGTAGGGCTCAAACAGCCTTCCCCACCCCCCTCAGGCCCTCCAGAGCCTGTTGCCTTACTTCTGGTGGGCCCAGAAGGCCCAAAAATTAGCTGGCCGGCGCATGCATATGCGCCAGAGCTAAGCTGGCATGCCCACTGCTATGGCTACATGTGCCACCTGTGGCACACTTGCCATAGGTTTGCCATCACAGCCCTAAGTATTCAGAATCAAAAATCTATTTCTGCCTTACTGGGCCAGTTACCCTTCAGTCTCAGTGGACATCGGCTCTGTTTTAATGAATCATTAAGAAACTCCTCACATTGTTTCTCCTCATGCCAAGCCACCAAATTACTCACTCTGAAGCAGTGGTGAAATCCAATTTTTTTTATTACCGGTTCTGTGGGCGTGGCTTGGTGGGTGTGGCAGGGGAAAGATACTGCAAAATCTCCATTCCCATCCCACTCTGGGACCAGCCAGAGGTGGTATTTGCTGGTTCTCCAAACTATTCAAAATTTCCGCTACCGGTTCTCCAGAACCTGTCAGAACCTGCTGGATTTCACCCCTGCTTTGAAGGTGTTCTTAAACGGCATTTAGAAGATTTTCATCAGTTGCTTTTCATTTCCCCATACCTGTCCCATTGGTTATTTTTGAACTGAGGTTCTGATCCTCACTGTTTGCTTTAGGCTTGGAGGTATCCACAGAACATGGCAAAATAAATAAATAAGTCAAGATGGCAGCGGGGTGGGAGTGATCAAAGCTCTATTTTTTATATATCCAACCCACTTGAAAAACAGGCAAACTAACTAAACAGGAAAAACAGGAAACTAACATTCTTGCGACTTGTCCATGTGAAAAAAAAACCTGCTTTATATTTATATATCAATGTAGCAATGCAGTCAAGTGTCCTATCAACTAGATGCCACTGCTTGGGAGTAAGCGCCAATCAGCTTAATGTGACTATTTTTAAGTAAACCTAAATAGGAAAGATAAAACTGCAGATTTCTTATAAATAGCCTCTATGAAGGTCTAATTAGCTAAATGTCTAGATCTGCATCACCGCATGAAGGAAGTTATTGGTTACACAGGTTGCATAAGGAGTTTAATGTTATCAAGAAGGAAGAATACACAAAAGCAAAGAATACACATACTTACTATATGACGTGCTGCAAACACACCATCAACGATTGCACAACAAAAAGCTGCTACCACTCCAAAGCTGATGAACACGATAGATGCTATCAGCTACAAAGAGAAATGTTGATTTAAATTAAGTGCTTCATGCTTGCATTGGAAGTCAATTATGAAGAATTAGAAAACGCAACTGTACTTTTAAAAATATGTTTGACCATTCAATGTATATGGAAAAATCAGGGAAATTATGAAGTAGAATTGCTTGCACATGCTATAAACGTTGAACACATATGTTGTGCTGTGCAACACATGTAAAAATGTCCCTTTATGTGATAAAACAGTTGCCTCTTAAAAACAGCACCTTTGGGACAACCATGACCTGGATGACTGAGAATCTCCATAGAGTTTAGACACATGGCAAAGAATAAAAACAAAGTAGTTTAGATATGATTATGTGGTATCTACCACTCCATCCTACAGACAGGAGACCATAATTTTTAATGCTTCCCTCTGTAGAAATGTGGCTGCATGGAGAATACTGTACTGAGGACAGTAACTGGAACAGATTGTTTGAAGGGTGTGTGATTTGTTTAATTAAAATGCATGTTATCTGAATTAATGCAGCCTATTTTATTCTTCACGAAATATCTTGGTTGTGAAGTGATATGCTTTATTTTTTTTCCTAAAGATTCCTAAAAAAATCTTCCTAAAGAAAAAAGACTTTCCTAAAGATGCTTCATTTAATAATATTGAATGCCTTTTGCTTATAAAAGGTTTTCTATCATAACCTTCAATCTCGGGTTAGTCTACCCAGATAACGCCTCCATTTATTTGTACAAAGCCTCTCAATGTTTGCATAATTAGATTTTATGAAGGGAAACAGTATAGTTCTCAAAGAGTCCCCTGGGTTGAGAAGCAAAAAAACAAACAAATAAACAATAACCAAACACTGAAGGGTATTTGTAAACTGGAGTTCCCTGCCTTCTGCTTGAGCTGGTACCATTATCAGACTGTTTACAAGTGGCAGGTAGACTCATAATAATCATTTAATGTACTGTAATATTTTGCCCTATCTTTTAGGGAACGAAGGGCACTGAAATGCCACCCCCACATATACAGCAAAAATCAAATACATTGTGTCTTGCCTGGTTGCCCCTCTGCAGCTATTAAGGTAGGTTATCATTGCAATAGGCACCTAGACATACAATTTATGCTTTATTCTCTCCAAAGGTTGGTGCCACAAAAAGAGCATGGGTGTAATTGAGACTTCACTCAAGAAATGTCTCATTACAGGATAGGATTATATCACAGGTACTGAATGTTCATTATTCATTTATATCTATTTGAGCTGCAGCACTTACAATGATTACAATGGATTTCTAATGAGAAAAGGCTTTGCAATTACCTAGCTGCAATTCACCTCTTATGGAGGATATTTTTAATTATTTTTTCCTGCAAAGCCTCAAAGCATCCTTTTCATCCAGAGTAACCAAAATTATGGAAAAAGTTATTATTCAAGTGAATTCTAATAAATATCTTGAAAATATTTCAGCAAAATTAACTAGCCTGAATATATCTAAAAAATGGCATTGAAAGAGAATATCCTTAAATGGTTGTTGAAAGAAGGATCAAAGAAAAGTCAAATCTACTCATTTAGCATAATTAAACAACTCTGATTTTGGTATTCAGAGAGATTCAGAAGAGTCTAGACATAGAAAGTGCTTTATCCCCTTGAATTTATATATCTTCATCAAGATAATCTTCTCTACTTTCTACAGTGGGTCATTCTCCAGTAGATTCACAGCTGAAAGAAAACCTTGAAGATCTTCCCAATCTTTCATTGCACTGGCTCTTGTTGAGCTGAGAAAGACCACAATAAAAAGTGTGATTTCTGTAAACAGTTATTGTGGTCCTCAAAGTTAAGTCTTTCACTTAGAAGAGACTTAAAGATAACAAGCATTAAATTATCTGCAATGGTCTTGAATCATCATATTCAACTTTAGCAATTTCCAAATACCATATTACCCATCAATATGTTTTAGGTTAGGAAACTAATGAGATTCACCTACCAAATATTACATCTGATAGAATAAAATTGCATGTGCACCTTAAAAATGGTATAATGAAAGCTGTGTAATTGCATGGCCATCGTTTAACAACAGCAAAGATAGGAAGTACAAGTCCTCCAATCTTCCATTTATGAAAAGCATCAATACTCCAGGATAATGCTGCTATTTCTTCTTAAATTTTCCATTCTCACTTGTATCAAAGCAACCTTTTCAACAGATAGCTCTTTATCAAATGCAGCTATATCCCATCAAGGAATGGTCTGCAAGTTTTTCAATCATTGGTACACATCAGGCAAAATTAAAGCAAAAAGAAGGGAAGGGAAAGATTTTGGAAGGAAAAAAATGTCTATTATTAACTATGAAATTTACACTTAATCTTACAGCAAGTAGCATATGCTATTATGACAACCACTTTCCTAGTCTAATTGGAGTATCAGTCTATCAGGTTCTGTTCTCAAGCTGAACTAGGACTGTCCCAAGAGCTGGTCTGTTTAACATGTTGCTACTTATAAAAAAGACCATATTCCTCCCTTCCCCATCACATATTGATTTAACCATCACAACATTGACTTTGAAAGATGCTCTGCATGTTCAGAGCATACAAGCATTCTAGGAATTATTTATTTATTTGATTTGATTTGATTTGATTTGATTTGATTTGATTTGATTTCTATACCACCCTACTCCCGAAGGACTCAGGGCGGTGCACAGCCAAACAATAAAACACATACATACAATTATATAATATGATGTGTCCAAAGCGCCAATCTCTTATTTCAGTAACAATTAAATTTAGGCAACAAAGGTAGTAGAATCCTAACTATAACCCTAATTCTTCCTCATAGTTGTAGAACCCCAGGTTATTATACAAATGGAATCTAGTGAGAAGAAGCTAGAAGAAAGAAACAGCATTAGAATTATTGTATTTATTAAATGTGCATAGTACCCGATTCTCAATGACTCTGGGTGTTAACAAATGGATTTCACCTACAGTACTTGGAAACCACTTCTGGACTTTGTGCTTGAGGTGGGAAAAAAATGAAACTTTGATTTTTGGTTTTACTGATTAGATAGATTTGTTGTTATAGAAATGGTGAAGTTTATACTATTATGTAAAAGTAAAAAGTTGAGGTTTGATGTTACTGTTTTATTCTACTGCACCAGAGGGAGTCGGAAGTCAATGCCTTTTTTTCTTTTTTCCCTTCTGTTCCACACTTCTCCTTTCCTCTTTCCCTCCTTTATTTTCCCTACTGTTTGCTTTTGTATTTTTGTATTTTATATTATAAATAAATGAAAACTGTAAATAAAATGTACCTTAAAACTCAAATTTAAAAAATATACAAAAAAATAATAATAATAGAAAAATAAATCTTGTCTCTGCGCAGTAAAAAAAAAAACTTTAAAAAAAAGGATTTCACTACCACAAAATAAAGTGAGGCTTAAACTGAGTTTTAAAAAGAAATCAGACATATGAAATCATGCCTCATAATGAAGATAACTAAACACCTAGGCAAGACAGTTAAATTGTAAATCAGAATATGCTGTATCTGGTTGAACTATAGGCTTATGCCTCACAAAAGAAACATGAACAAAATAGACAATAATAACATTAAGCTCTAAAGAAGATTTTAATGAGTAGTGCTTATCTTGAGTGTTTCATTTAGTCTTTCTTTCATTATCCATTTTGTACTTTACTAGTCATACTGTTACCACAGCATGTATTACACAAATTGACTATGGATTGAATGCTTATAAAATTACAGAAATATGTTGAAAGAAACAGAATGAAAAACAGAGTACCAGATCAATGTTCTGATTTTTAAATCACACTGTTTATTATTTGCTTACCATTTGCTTTCGATTTTCAACCAGATGGAGCCCAATAATCCCTAGGAAGGATCCAAAGCCAAGCTATGGCAAAAAGCAAATCCACAAAAAAACAGGACAAGTTAGCTACATTTATAAGATGTCATTAATTTTAAATAAAAAGAAAAGAAGAATGAAAAGTGCCATTCCAGGTAAGTTGAAAACCTGCTTCACATATATAGTATTATCTATAAGACTTTTCATAAAAGAGGTTGCAATTAAAAAGTTTATCAAGAGTCTAACAAGCTTCCAGGAAACACACAAAATGGATTAGCTTAGGAGACATCATTTATAATAACTTAAAATGGGTTCAGTAAATGTTTATCTGTCTGTCTGTCTATTTATCTCTCTATCTCTCTATCTCTTTATCTATCCATCCATCCATCCATTCAACTATATATAATAAGTATGGTGACAAATAAATGTAATTTAGGAAAAGAAAGGAGAAGAAGAAATAGCATTTCTTTGAGAAATAGAATTGAAAAGAAAAAACTGGCCCATGAATAAAATAGGTTATTTTTATTCATTCAGTGGATAGGCCTTGTCTATTTATAGCATAAAGCTATGGATAACATAATTAAAAATAACCAAATTTTCTATGGCAATTGGGGATTTAAATGCTGGGGTCTATGGTCATTTTGAGCACTTCTTCTCTATAATGGTCCATGGTATGAATTGATGTTTCCTTGTTTATTTCCTTGCTTAGTTGCAGCAGATCTCATGACTCAATATGGTTCTTTCATAGAACCTGGAATACATTTCATAGAACCTTCTTTGGAATACATTGCTTGGGTGGCAATGGAAGGACTTGTTCTATTTTGGGCTTCATGGCTCATGTTAGCTGTACCATTCTGTGTAGAGTTTTGATGATTCTGCTAGAAGAATATTAGTGCGGCCTGAAACTCACTCAGGATAATCAGAATAGCAGTCAACAGATAGTGGTGGCATTCATCAGCACAACTGAATGCTGCAAGACGTAGCACTAGAATCTAACAGTGGTATTGAGAAGTCCTTCCTCCAACATCACAGAAGAGCCATGGCTAGCAGAGAAGCCATTCTGAGCCACATAGCATGAACATAGAAGCTCCCTCCATCACTAGTAAAATTGGCTGCTCTGAAGACAACCCACTGCCAGGAGGAAATGACATGGAGCCTTGCATCCTGAGTGACCCAGTTAAATCCTCTTAAGCAGAGTGGGCAAACACAAGGACATTGCACAGAAGTTCTAACCCTAACCTGACAAAAGAAAACATGAAATTGGTAGATGTAATCAAATGGTAAAGTACCAAGATCAGATAGTTGGGTCAAGAAGCACATTTTTATTTTCTCTCTAAAACACTCATGTACACCAATGGTGGGTTGCTCCCGGTTCGCATGAACAGGTAGTAAAAAATTTTAGTAGTTCGCAGAACCTGTAATAACATTGGCTGGCCACTTGCTTACCCCACCCACCTCATCAGAGGCTTTTTTTTTAACTTTTAAAAGCATTTTTTCTACAATCTCTTCGGCTGAAAAAATGCTTTTAAAAGTTTTTTTAAAAGCCTCTGATGATCGCGTGGCTCAGCTGGAATCTTCAGAGGCTTCTGAAAACATTTTTTCTGCATCCTCTTTGGCCGAGGAGGTTGTAGGAAAAAAAATCCCTTTAAAAGTCTCTGGCGATCCCAGCAGATTTGCCTGATCATCGGAAGCTTCTAAAAGCATGTTTTCCTGCGACCTCTCCAGCTGAGAAGGTTGTAGGGAAAAAAATCCCTTTAAAAGCCTCTGGCAATCCCAGATGACTTGCCTGATCGTCAGAGGCTTCTAAAAGCATTTTTTCTGCAACCTCTTAAGGTTGTAGAAATAATGCTTTTAAAAGTAAAAAAAAAAAAAGTTGGCCATGCCTACCCAGTCACATTACCCCCAAACCACACCCACAAAATAAGCCACACCCACAGAACCAGTAGTAAAAAAATTTAGAACCCACCCCTGATGCACACAGGCACACACACACACATACACACAAAACATGGAGCCCAGTGCACATTCCCAGGACAGGAAAATGATCACCAGAATGCTGCCATGGAAGAAAGTATTTTTAAAGGAATCCCTTCATGGATTATTCTCGCTCCCAGATTCACAAGGAGGGTTTACCTGGCCTAAAAAAAATAGTTGAGCAGGCACCCAAAAGAGTACTTGGGTCAAAATATTGATGAATTTGGTCAGGCCGCCAAAACTGGATAGAAGCATTCCCAATCATGTTTCCCATCAAGTCCTATATACTGTATCTTGCCCCAAACTAGTGTTTTCAATATAAGGAATGAATTTTCCCATTATTTCATGCTTTTTTCCTTCTTTTGAGTCATACTGATAACCATATGCAATCTTCTAGGCAACGTGTTTGGAAATGGTTTGTAGTTCTTTTTCCTAGGACTAAGAGAAGATGACTAAAGTTACCCAGCTGACTTCCATGACTGAGGCAGGACTAGAACTCAGATTTTTCTACTGGTCCAGTGCCATAACTCAACTCAACAATAACTCAACTCAAGCCAAAGAGACTTGGCTCTTTCATACCTACATCCACACTTTCTATTAAGTTAAACTTGGTTGAACTAGGTTTATCGTTAAATTGCACAAAACCTGCATAGGGCAGATATATAGATAAGTTTCAACCAGTGGTGAAATGTAAAATTTGTTACTACCGGTTCTGTGGGCATGGCTTGTGGGGGGGAATGTGACTGACTTGGGGGGAGCGTGGCCAACTTTTTTTTTAAAAAAAACTTTTAAAACCATTTTTTCTACAACCTCTTCGGCCGAAGAGGTTGTAAAAAAATGCTTTTAAAAGGCTCTGATGATCAGGCAACTCAGCTGGGATCGTCAGAGGCTTTTAAAAGCATTTTTTCTACAACCTCTTTGGCTGAAGAGGTTGTAGAAAAAAATGCTTTTAAAAGCCTCTGGCGATCCCAGCTGAGCCACGCGATCATTAGAGGTTGTTTTTTTTTTACTTTTAAAAGCATTTTTCGGCCAAAGAGGTTGTAGAAAAAATGCTTTTAAAAATAAAAAAAACAGCCTCTGATGATTGAGCAGCTCAGTTGGGCATTGGGGTGGGCAGGGATTTTTGCTACTGGTCCTCTGAACCATTCACCGCCATCACTACCTGATCAGGTAATCCGGTCTGAACTGGGAGCATTTCACCCCTAGTTTCAACATATGACCACAATTGGAACTAGAATTTCCATCATAAGTGAAGCCAGACCCAATTTTTCTGACCATTTTTACATTTTTGGTCCCTTATTTGATGCACTGTGAATACTGGAAAAACTAAAATGCAGGGGGTTGGTAGACTTACTATTATTCCTGGATAATAGCCTCCCACAGTTACATTTTCAGTTCTTGTGGTTGCTGCAAGGCCTATGGTCAGTATGAAAACAGACACTACCAAAAGGGCAACTGTGAACCAAAGAGATGTTTTCTTTCTTTTTGTGAAGTGCCCTGTGAAAAAACACACATTGTAAATGCATATTAAAAATATACTAATCTCAAAGGAGAGGAAATTAGCTTCATTCATACGCAACCCTCTTAACAAGAAACCTTATGTCAAACTTCTTAGATAGTCTTAGCTTAGAAACAGCAAGTTCTAATTAGAAATATCTTATCTCTGAAATTAGGTTCCTACATGAAAGGAAATTAGATTAGATTAGGAGGCCTTTTTCTGCTGAAGGCTGACTTCCCTTGATAGTTGAGTCAGTTACTGTACTGAGCTGTCCAATAGCCCACTTGGGGAATTCTGGGAGTTGAAGTCCATATATTTTAAAGTTCCCAAAATTGGGAAACACTACACTAGATGATGCAAAGGAAATATGAAACACTCCAATCCTCTACTAGTGGCTGTCTTGATTTTGCTGTCTACTTGACACTGCTAAGCAGGGTGAAATCATTCTTTTTCTGCCATCCCTTTCATTTCTCCCTCCCTCCTCCACCTTCTCTGTCTTTCTTTCTTGGATCTCTTCTTTCTCAAGCAAGAAGCTGCTGGAAAACAGAAAGATGATTTTGCCCTAAGCCTGAACCAACCTAAATGACTTCTGAAATTAGATTGAGAATCAGACCTTGGACAGTTCTATTCCAGGACACATTATGTAATACAAGATATCTGTGATTTCATTTCCTCCCCCTTATTTTTTGTGCTGAAATCATACAGAATGTAAACTGGAAGAGTGTCATAATGCCAGAGGTGAGCTAATACTTTCCTTGTTTCCTAAGATACATGATTCCTCTAAATCTGCTTTTTATCTGAAAAAGAGAAACATCTAAGGACGTTTCACATCACAAACAGGGTTTTCTACCAGTGATCATAAACCAATGGCTCTAGGTATAGTGAATCAAGGGCAGATTTTTAATTTTTAAAACAGTATTTCATTAAAAACAAGAGAAAGAAAGCATGCATAGCAAAGTTTCTGGGGTTCTTTCCAGCCCGATTATCAGCAGTGGCCATAAAAGGTGTCTGTTTTCTTCTCTGTAGTGAAGTAATTGTGTTGCATCTGTGTGTACAGATGTTCGACTTACAACCATAATGGAGCCTGGAATTTCCATTGTAAGTCGTAAGTTGAGGCACCTACATGATTGACCTGATTTTATGACCTTTCTGCTCAAATGAATTCCATGGTCATAAAGTGAGTCAAGTGAAGTATTTTTTGCCAGAAAGCAGTTGAAATTGCATCATGTGAACGCAGAATGCTACAACCAGCCATAAAGGCGAGCTAGTTGCCAACCACCCAAAATGTGGTTCTGTGACTTTGTCTCTGTGTGTGTGCATGTGTGTTGCCATTGGCACTCCAGAGCAGAGTTGTATGCAATTTCTGGTGTGTGTGTGTGTGTGTGTGTGTGTGTGTGTGTGTGTGTGTGTGTGTCATAAGTAGGTACCCACTAGCACCGACTACCCATCTATGGTTTCCATATGGATGTATTAGGCAAATGGATTTCCTTGCCAAGTCCTAATCCTACTCATTTTCAAAGTCTGTTTTCTATTGCTGACTCCTTCCTCTCCAGGAAATTTAGTCTCATCTTGTCCAATTTGTTGAGAATTATTCCACTGCTAGATAAATAGACAGAGTATTGATGGACAGATATTCTTCACATATTTTTCCAAAATTCTTTTAGTTTGGAAGTAATTAAAATATGATGATGCCCAGAAAACCCAAGATAGTTGGATGGAGAGGAAAGCATAATTCACAGGTTTTATATAAGTGAGCTAATTTTCAGACCCTTGAGGCAAACATAGTTTTTGTTAAGAAGCATTAGAAAGGAATACGTTTTTAAAAATAACAATATTTGACATTTTAAACTTGCAACCTTATGCAAACTTTCTTTGGAAAAAAAGGACCCACTGTGTCACTAGGACTTACTTCTCAACAAACAGAAAAGATTGTGTTGCAAATACTTATTATCAGAGTATTAGCATTTAGAGTGTGAAAGGAAGCCATTTAAGCATTACATCCGGGTGTACAGATTAAATTTGTCTTCATTCTTTCTTTAAAACTGGGGTGAGGGGGAAACAGTTGGGGTGGCAGATTAAACAAAATTATAGCCAGGGAGCTCTTTAAACCCTCTATGTTTGTCATTTTAAATATGTAAAATGTTAGAAATCCACAGATGTATAAATAATAAAACCATTATCAGGTTAGTTTAGGTTATTTGAGAGACTGAAAAGAATTTAAGAAAGGTTAACGGCCTACCCACTGCTGCTTTCCTATTATAATATCCTTTTCTAAGCTGTTTTTCCTCTCTATGTAAATATTACTAGAAAATTACTGCTTACATTTACATGGGATATTTAGTTTGGCTCTTACAAAAGTAGAATTTCACATAAGGAAAAGCAGGAATTCTGGTGATAAACAAACATTGTGATATATTCTCCTTAGAAACTTTTAACATGCTTCCTCTTATACAAGATTTTCAATTAATGCTGTTACCAAAAGTTGGCATTTTCTTCAAAAGTCTGAGAAAACTGAAACTAAATTCCGAAGCAACAAAAATTCGTTCAGATTTCAGGTGAAATCCTTCACACATTAAAGATAAAATAACTATGCTGAAAACAAAAGCTGACCTTTCCTTTTCCTCTCTGATCTTTCCTTTTCCTAGATCAATACTTTTCCCTGCAAATTACCACATTCATATTCTGGTTACATCCATGAAGATTCTTAGTCCATTATAGTTCGCAAGTCTGGCTTTATATAATTATAAAACAAGTATGTTTGCAAGTTCTCAAAAATGAGCAAAATATCTACTATCAGAGGTTGTGATGAATTGTTGTTAATTGTTGCTGATTTTGAAAGACATGGAAAGAAAAGATGATTCATTCTATGGTGATGAGTTAAATAATCAATGGCCTGTTTATTCCCAATCGACTTTTGCAATAAATGCACAATGAATTTCTTGGAATGCAGGTAGTTCAGGTTTTATTATATAGTTGCATTGATACCTTACTATTGATTTCCCACAGATAGGGGCACCTGACCACTTACTATGGATTAATGTATCACTAAAGTAAATCCAACACCTGTGTGTAGCTTTCTTCTTGTACAGTATGAGCCCAAATGTATGTTCTTCTTCTTATCATTTCTGAATTGCTTTGATTGCAGGTCTTTTTTGAGATTTTTTTCCCCCACTCAAAAGTGGGATAAGATCTAAATCTCTAGACCAGAGATTTACAAATCTCAAAGAAGAGAAAAGCAAGGCCAACACAATCTGCAGTGCATAGTAGTGATGCCAGGTCCATCTGCAAGTTTCCTCCTTTGGGGTTATGCAAAATTGCAATGCCCGTCCGTAGCAAAGAGACAAAGCTTTCATCACAACATAAAATAATGTTACTTTTGACCATCTGACACCCTCTTCCCAACAGATGTCCATGCAAATTCAGATGATGTCATGCCTGATTTGTATTCATGTGTGTATAAAAAAAAACTTGAAACTGAAATGTAATATTCCTGATGCTCAGGGTTATCTCACACAAGAGGAACTTTTATGCAGAAGCCCACATCACAGCTATCCTACAAATGCAAGAAATAGACAGAGGTTTAGGTAACCAGTACACTTCTATGCTTCATAGGAAAGGATAGGAAATGTCATAAATTAAGGTAAAAGTGTACAGTACACCCAGCTAAGTGTCATGCTTCAAAGCCACTGGAGACAAGTATGAGCAGGATGTGCCTAATCTTTTCTTTCTGGACAATTTACTGGCTTCAAATTCCCTGCGTTTGCAAATTGGGCACTTTTTCTTGAAGGGAAGAAAAAACAACAAAGGGGAGGAAATAATTTAAAGAAAAGATTGACCAGAACTCCCCTTTCTTTTTGTTGATGTTCTTGTTGATGACCTGTTCCTCTTTTTGCACCTCTGAGCTGATGGAAATGGAGAGAGAGAGGTTGAGAGCAAAGGTGAATGCACAGTGAGGCTGAAAAAACTCAAAATGGCAGCCACAGTATGCAATAAAAGACATTGCCATTTTTTAATGGATGGGGTTTCAATTACATGGCTGTGGCTGCTATCTTGACTTTTCGGGGGTCCTTCTCTGTGACAGCCCTGGATAAGGTGAAGGCTTACCTTACCTAGCTAATTGTTATTTCAATGAGTCCCAACATATAAGAGATAAAGGAACTTTCTATCTTCTTTTTTCCTCCTACTCAAGATGTAGCTTAGACAGAGTGAGAATTTTCTATCCTCATATATTTCTTCATCAATCTAGTTTATACTTTAAGCGCAATGAATGTCTGCTAACATTCACCAACAGTGGAGCTAAACTCATATTACGCATCCAAGACAACTATATTTTGAACTCCTATATTAATGGGATGTTGTGCTTTTTAATAACGCATCATTCTTTCTGCATTCTGCTAGGAACACATCTTCAAACAAGGGCTCCTATTGAATTTAGACCTCTGAACACTCAATGAGGCAGAAACCAAACAAAATACAGACGCCCACACCAAATTAAAGCACAATTAAAAAGTAATTAAAACACATTGAAACTCAGTGATAAAGATTGCAACAAAACAATCTAAACATTCTTTGGTCAAGACCCCAACTTTTCCAAAGTGAGCTTGAGCGAAGCTTAAAGTACCACGAAATTCAGCTTCTTCTATTTTTCTTTGTTATTCTGTGCTTACATTTTAAGTGCTGCAGTCCCAAAGACTGCTATAGAGATAGACCAGCAGCAAAGTTTGACATGTCTGTTCAGGCATGTATTTTCATATCAGATTCAAATCCTAATTTTCAAACTCATAGTCAAAACAAATTAACAAAGAAAAGAATGTTGTGGGTCATGTAAATATTTCCATGGCAAATCATCTCTTTTGAGTAAACATGCACAAGATGTGCAAAAAACAGAAAATACAGAAAATACATTTTATGAAATACAGACAGTAGGACATGCAGTAGTGAAAGTCAGCCAGTTCTATCATGCTCAGGAGAACCGGTAGCACTGGTGGCGGGAGGTTCCGCCCATCCGCCCGGACATCATCACGTCCTGTTTTTGACCCTCTGTGCATGCGCTCACATTTGCAAACCGGTAGCGAAGGTAAATGGATTTCACCCCTGAGGTCATGTGTTATAAAAAGCTATCCTAGTGGGGCATATCAAACTCAATTCCATTGAAAATAGTGGTGTTTAATTGCTAATGGTACAACTAGGCAGTAAAGTTTTTAAAATAATTTTGTTTTTACCAATATTACACATTAAATAACAAATATATGGTAGTAAAATAAGTCATGTAATCTGAATTTTCTAAGAGCAAATTATTAATGATTACCATCATTTTGCTTCTTTATTGTCTGTAGATTGTTTAAAGCTGCTTTTATTTTAACAAATCACAGAGGTAAATGAAGTGGTAACAATTGCTACCTCTAATTAGGTGCTTAACTTACCCAAAAGGCAGAAACTAATAACCAGGTTTTGCTTCAAACCTCAATTCAATAATCTCTATAAATGTGAGTTCTTGGTTTATTAACAATGTACGTAATAGAATTGTCTCTTGTATATGATGCCTCTTTGCTTCTTTAATTTTAAGATAAAAAAACACTAATTTCATTTTGTTGATATGATTATATTGCTTTGGGGTCCATTGTTGGACTAATAAACGGTTGAATAATGGTTTAAAATAACAAAGTTCAAATAACATCAATATTTTTAATGACTAAAGACAAATGACTTTCACAGAAAGAGTATTTTATGTTAAAAAAAAATTTCCCTTTTGTAATAGACGTAGTGTTAATTCAGTAACCACTCCACAATAAAGTAATTGAGACACTACTTTGCAAAGGTACATTATATTAGCTTCAAGGAGTATTTATTTGGAAAATCACTTAAAGAGCAAGTTTGGTGAGGTGGTTAAGACAGGGAGATTGTAAATTATGCAAGAATCAGACATGAATAAGTAAAATTGAATTAAAAAGTTTAATTCGAAGTACGTTTTCTATTCATTTTTACTAATCTTATTATTTCTAAAAAGCAATAGCATTATCATTGGGGGAAAAAATATCAACCACATTATCCAAATGGTATTGTGAGGTTATTCAGGTAGTCCTTAATTACAACAGCTCATTTAGTGACCATTTGAAATTACAACAGCACTGAAAAAAGTGACTTATGACCATTTTTCACACACCATTGCAGCAGCCCCCATGATCACATGATCAAAATTCAGATGTTTGGCAACTGACTCATATTTATGACGGTTGCAGTATCCTGGGATCATGCGATCACTTTTTGCAACCTTCAGTCAAGCAAAGTCAATGGAGAAGCCAGATTCACTTAACAAACGTGTTATTAACTTAACAACTGCAGTGATTCACTTAACAACTATGGCAAGAAAGGGAGCAAAATTCACTTAACTGTCTCACTTAGCAACAGAAATTTTGGGCTCAGTTGTGGTCATAAATCAAGGACTGCCTGTATTGTAAGAGAATATTAAAAATAAGTTCTCCTTGACTCCTGGTGACTTCACAGATATGTCAATGTAGCCATTGACGAGAGTTCAAAATGGTTTGCCGTTGCTATCTCCTAATATATTTTTTTTAATTTCCTAGCCAACAATCCTGATATTTCTGGGCAATTTCCCATCTAAGTACCAACCACATCTGACATTGTCTAGGTGTTAACCTAAGTTGACCACATGCTTCCACCTATAAACATGTAAATCTAACATATTATGAAGCAAAAAAATCATAATTTTACATATAGTGCAATTCTGCAGTAACTGCTTTCTAATTCTTCTGACATTTCTCCCTCTCGCAAGCAGAATAATGCTCCATTTTAAAGCATACTTCATTGGAAATAAGTTCTCTGAAAACCACTGGTATCTATTTCCATATGCCTAATTTCAAAATTAAGGTAATTTGGGAGGAAATTCCATTATTATCAGTACAATTATAATTATACAAAGATTATCTGACTGAAGACTGAATTTAACTGGAGGTTTTCCAAAGAGAATCTTTATATTCCAAAAAAGAATACTTTATGTCTGTTCTTTTCTCTTTTAGATTCCCATAATGTTAGACATTGAGGGTCATATTACTTTATTGCCATCTAACACGGTAATAAGAAAGTAAGATTCCACTAAACATGAAGCAATTTAAGTAAATAAACTAATAAATATGCCACATGATCTGTTAGGATGATTATTTTATTCTACAAGAGATACAGCAGGATAGTCCTGAATTTATGACAGGTTGATTAACATTCGAAGTTACAACGAACAGAAAATATCCCCAGGATATTTATGACCTGGTTCTAAAATTCCAATGGCTGCTGTCCCCCCAGAGTCATGTTTTGGGCTGTTGGCAAGCAGCCAACATTTACAGTTGTTTGCAGTGTCCATGGTCAACGTTTTTGCTGAAAACTAGTTCAGCAAAACTAGCCCATATTGGACAGTGGGTTTGTTTAAAGCCCACCACACAAAAGGTTGTAAAATCAGGTTGGTCATGTTGCTTTGTGTCACAATGTATGACAGTAATGGGGAGGCTTCATTACGGTTGTCATTTGAAAACCACTTGTATCTATTTGAAATTCCAATTGAAAAAAAAAGAAGGAGCTTTACTCCTTATAAATGGATTTTAAAGTTGTTAACTATAGCTGGGTTATGTTTTTCTTTCTAAAAAAATAAATAATTATGAACTGCCTACTGATGCCTTTTCTGCTAGAAATACACTTTCTACATAGTGTGAGATAATACTAAACAAATAGCAAAGATATTTTGTTATTTTTTCTAGCTGTTTCTCCTCAATTCGTGCATCACCTGGTATTGCAATTATCAATGCACCAGACTTTTTTCTTTTCCACAATAGTGATGTCAAGCATGTTGTGGGCCAGATGTCTGTATATTGTATGGCATTGTTACATTAGCCAGGAGAGCACAATTCTGTTGCAGAGTAGTACTTTGGCTGTTAAGTTACCAGCTTCCACACTTTCTAAGGTGAGTCATAGAAGGGCAAGATGGTTTCGTACCAGAAAGAAAGGTGAGCAGCTCTTTCTGCAGCATCATTCAAGGGCCCTCCTCCCCGAAGCCATCTTGCAAATGGGTGCCACAATTGGGAAGGTTCAGAGCCTGGATAAATATGACTGTTGTCATATTTATCTGCACCAAGTTGTCTCCCCACTGAAGTGGTACCTATTTATCTACTTGCATAAAACATGCTATTGAACTGTTAAGTGGACAGATGCTGAATGATGGAAGCTCATCCCTCCACACAATGTTAGTCATGAAGCCACTTAGCCATTGTACCTCTATCCATAGATAGCTGACACATGACGTAGAAGGCTATTCCCATGCTTTTTGTCTGAATGCTATGCACTTCTGTTAAATATATATCTGGGGCTTCATCTAAGTTTAGAAAAGTGGACACCATTTGCTATATAGGGAACTGCAGCTGGATAGAGATGAATTCATTGTTCTTCCAATGAATTCTTTTTCTGGTAATGAATGGCCAGTCTTAGCGGTAACCCATGAACTCCTCTGTAACTAAGAGATGAAATAAATAGACAAAAAGATAGATTGACAGACAGATATATAAATGTTAGATGGATGATAGATAGATAGATAGATAGATAGATAGATAGATAGATAGATAGATAGAGATAGATGATATACAGACAGACAGACAGACATAGATGATATAGACAGATAATCATCATGAGTAAAAAGTATGAACTATCTTTTTACTGTAAAAGATGCCTGAAATCTGAAAGTTTTTCAAACTTGATCAGAATAATCAGGCATTTAACCATTTCACAATATTCAATGAAAGACTAATGAATAGCAAAGAAGCAAAATCCTTAAGCATTGAAGACCTTAGCTTGAAAGCTGTTCTAATATGGGAAAGCTAATATCTAGCTTTCCCAAATTTATCATACTGATTGCTCATGATAACCAACAAGGTTTCTTCACAAAGTCTAGACACTTTTTTAAAATACTTGTATTTCTTTAACCATCTAAGCAGCTGACATCCAAAACTGCAGGAGGACCACAAAGAATGATCTCTGAAGATATATTTTTCTTTATATACATATTTTGAGATGAGGTTTATGTACCTGGCTTTTCATGACAGAGCTCACAGTCTGGTGTCATGATCTTTGAGTAGAAGGAAAGAGACATATCTTTGGCAGGGCAGCTGATAAGCAAGACTTCTCAAACTCTGATCAATGAAACAACTCCAAAAGTTAAGAAACCACTGGATACTGAAATAATTGAGATGGAGGCAATAACAAAACCATCTTTGGGGGAGGGGGGTGTATGATATTAATGGGGGGATTTATGAGACCTCCTTAAAATGAAACGGAACTTAAAAAGTGCAGCCTTACTATTGGTGATAGGCTGCCTGCAAATACTTGCAAGTTAAAGTAAATTAGGGTCCAACTTGTCGCTCACCTTCTGAACACGTATCTCGTGGTCGTGTGAATTCGCTTCGGGAGTGGGTGGGTGGGAGGAGAACCCGAGAGCGTCTTTGAATACTTTCTGGACTGTCGCTGGCTCAGGGGGAGGCGAGGAGTGGCGAGGAGGAGGGAAGGGTCCACGGTGTGTAAGAACTCACATAAGCGACCCCAGAAGGAAACAACTCCGCATACTAACGCCCTCGCCCCTTAAAACTGTTTCCCCGTCAAAAGCAACGGGGTTTTTGAACCCCTCCATCTGAGGAAGGTTTCGGGGGGGGGGGCGCCCCAAAACCTGAAACCCGCGAGGAAATGGCCCTCCGGGCTCTGCACTTACCTGCGGGGTCCAGCATGGCTAAAGGCTCGGTAGAGGCAGGGGCAACGGAAGGCTGCATCCGCCCAGCGACGGTGGGACCCGGCCGGCAGGATGCAGAGAGCCCGTTCCCCGGGCATTGACCGACCGGTCCTGTGAAGATAAGGCGGGAGTCACAGGAGGCAGGACAGAGGAGGCGCCGCCGGAGCCCGAGGGAGGAGCGAAGGTGGCCTTTCGAGGTGACCGAGGGCGACCCAGGGCCTCTTCGGAGCAAAGGCTCCGTTCCAGCGTCGGCCAGCAGAAAGAGGAGCATCTGCCCTCGCCCTCAACCGAAGGCAGCCCCTGCTTCCTTCCCACAGGTGCAAGAATAGAGACGGAGCGTTTGAGGGGTTGGGTGTGTGTGGCGAGACAGCAGAAAAGCGGGAAGGGGCTGCAAGCTACAATTAATGCCAGACGCAGAGAAAAGGTTTGGGGGGGGGGAACGGGAAATTTAGGGGGCTAATCCTTTCATTATCGCACTTTTATCAAATCCTCCAAAACACTTAAAAGCCAGCCGAAAGAAGACAAAACAGACCAGCAAACCCATGAGAATCTTTGATCTGGGCAGCAGGAAATACCTTTACCAACAGAGCATCTTCACTTCAACACCCAAACTTCTCTGAAGCCTGTCCCCATCATATATACATACATACATACATACATACATACATACATGCATACATACATACATACATACATAAACAAACAAACAAACAAACAAACAAACAAACTTTATTGTCATTGTATGTGTATACACAGTATGTTGTATGTGTATACAACAGTATTGTATGTGTAACACAGCATGTTTTGGCATAGGGGTGACTCTACCAAAAACCTCATTGGTAGAAACTTTCTACTAACCCTTTGGGCAAAAGTTTATATTTGCCAACTTCTCAGCCAGTGAGTGATTTGTCTCTCTTTCTCTCTGTGCATTGTTGGAATCAGGGTGGACTCTCGGCAGGTGACTGGACAAATCCTTGCAATATTCTTGGCAAACATTTCTGAAGCAGTTTGCCCTTGCCTTCTTCCTAGGATTCCTATAGGAAGGGGAAATGGCCCAAGGTCATACAGTTGACTTCATGCTTAAGGCAGGACTGGAATTCATGATCTCTTGGTTTCTAGTCTGGTACCTTAACCATTGCACCAAACTGTCAACCCTGAAGCTGGCCTGGCGGAAGCTATCTTAAAGCTTCAGTGCTGCCACACTGGAGCTGAGGGATAGGGAGGGGGGATTAGAGATAGCTGGGCTTGTATAGTCAAAATAAAATACTTTCTCTTGGAAGAGGAGCTGCACTCCCTGACTGGGAGGTATACTACCAAGCAGCAGTACTATCGTGGGTCAAAGATTGGATAGAATTAAAGGACTCTAGAATTTTAACAATTGAGGGACACGAACTCCAAACTGGCTGGCACTCCTTTATGTGGGATGAGAAATACAAAACACATTCATATTTTAAAAGACACACAATAAGGAACTCATTATTACAAATTTGGCTTAAAATTAAAAAACAACATTATATGAAGATACCAAATTGGCTAGCACCGGCAGAATCAATTAGGCACCCAAATTTAACAGATAAGACAAAAATAATTAGATATAAAGATATAATTGACTATCAAGGCAAATTAAAGACAAAACAACAATTGGAGACAGATTTACACAGAGAAATAGACTGGTGGATTTATACTGAAATACAATCCAAATACAGAGAACATATAAAAACATATGAAATTTATAATCAAAAACAAGAAATAGATAAAATTATATTAGATTCAGAAAATAAATTAATTAGTAGAATTTATAAATTTCTTCTACGCTATAAATTGGAAGAAGAGACAGTCAAAGAAACGATGATTAAGTGGGCCCAAAATATTAAACACACAATACCTTTGGAAAAATGGGAAAAGTTCTGGCAGGCAAACCTAAATTTAACGAAAGCAACGGCGTACAAGGGAAACCAACTGAAAATGTTTTATCAGTGGCATATGTCTCCAACCAGATTGGCAAAAATACAACCTAAAAATAGCCCGATTTGTTGGAAGTGCAAAAAGGCACAAGGGACTTTCTATCATTTATGGTGGACGTGCCCGGCAGCAAAGAAATTTTGGTCTAACATCAAAAAATGGTTGGAACAAATAACAAAAACACAGATTGAAAAAGAACCAGAAACATTTTTATTAGGAATCTTTAACAAATCATACCCTAAGGATATCAAATATCTCACAATTCACATATTAACTGCTGCAAGAATAACCTACACAAGAAATTGGAAGCAAGAAAAAATACCAAGTGAAACAGAAGTAATAGGGAAAATTTTAGAATGCACTGAAATGGATAGGTTAACCAAAAAATTACAAGAAAGAGAAGAATCAGACTATTATAAAATATGGAATAATTGGTACAATTGGTTAAAAATCAGAAATATACAAAAAATATAGGGGAAATATTACCAATTTAAATATATATATATAATAAAAAATATTATTAGATTAAGGAGAGGTGAAGGAATATATCATAAGTAGAATTGTAGAACGTCACTCTGAAAAAATGCTTAAGAAGAAATTACACTCTTTTTGTGTATATGTTGTATAAATGTTTGTTGTGTATATGTTACGTATGTCTTTTTTAATATTTATATTCAATAAAAACTACTTAAAAAAAATAAAATAAAATACTTTCTCTTGGGAACCAAGGATGTTCTCACACCTGGCTAGGTGAAAACCAAGGGACCCTTCAGAGTTGGTTTTCACTAGATATGTGCCAATATGATATTTCCAATAAAGCTATTCTTTGAGGAATACCTCAGAGCTTTGCTTGCTATGAATCTATTACTTGGACCCCTGACACAAACTGGCTTTAAGTCAGTGATTGGAGGTATTGATAAGACCCAAATCATCCTCAGGAAGCATATTCCCCTGTCTATTCTAGGCAAATGTCTCTATTCTGAAAATATGAGCTACTCTGACTTTTGATCTGTTTCACTCTGCAAAGCCAATTGGGCATGCTTGATGCAAAAAGAAAGCTGAAACTTCCTTAAGAAATTTATTCCATGTTCTGGACCCGGTGAAAATGGCTAGAATGGAAGCTTTTGAAGAAGGCAAACCAGGTAAAAAGATCAGGTTGAACTGGCATAGAGAGCCATAGTATTTCATTTACTTTAATAATGGAAATGGATTTAATTCAACAATAGATGGCCATCCACCCATCTTTAAATACCTCCAGCGAAGGAGAGTTCACTACTTCCTGTGACAACCTACTTAACATTGAGGTTATGCAGTCCCCCGGATTCAATCCCCAAAAGATCTTTCAGAGCACATGGGATACAGCTATTCTGAGGTGTTTCACACAGGTGTTATGCTTGCCCACTGACATGTTCTAGTTTGTTCGTCAGGTTTCAAAAATAGAGAATTCCAGCCAGTCAGAATCAATAATTGGTCTGACTCTGAGAGTCAGGCAAATTGCTGGACTTCGATATACATTTGAGAAGGCATATGGCATGACATACATAGACAGAGGCCAAAGCAGACTTCGAATACCACTAAAATTACAAAGGTGACTCTTGCCATCTTTCTTAGCATCCCTACTTAAAATTGAACTGAATAGAGTAATAGACAACTTTATAAAGAATTAGAGCCATTACATTTATCACTCATATAATGGGGATTTATAAGGCCTTTCTTTTCTTTTTTTCTTTTGCAGGTTAAATAAAGACATTCTGCCATGGTTGTCTGCCAATGACTTAAAAATTGAATTACTCCTGCCCTTTCATTTCTCCTTGGTATTTTAGTAGCATGTATCTTAATCTTACTGTTAAAAAGCTCGCCTTTTCTGTACAATTTGTTCAGTCGCAATTTTATCTCCCAAGGCATTTCTGAGATCTAAATCTAGAGAGGAATATACAAGTGAAGCCTGTAACCAACGACTGAAGGTGGCCTAGTCATAATCAGGTCAGTCTGCTCAAGGAGATGAGGCAGAAAGGGCCAAATTGGAAAAGGGAAAACAAAAGGTTTTTTTTTTCTATCCAGCACTTGCCAATCACTTTCCCATACTAACTAATATTAGAACTGGCTGCTCCCCACACTGTGAGCATCTCATGACTCTAGAGAAGAGGAAAGGAGGTTGTTTTGTCCTAGTTTCTTCCTGAAACATCTCCATGTAAGATAGAGCAAGTATTCTTGCCACCTTCAATTCTTCTTTTGGGGATATTTGTTATACTCTGTTAAAATCTTCAACAGGCCAATTTTGTTTGGGGGGGGAAACTCTCATGCAACCACCTAGTAAACTGTGTTGTAACTCTTTACAATTTTTAAAAAAGTTTTATTGGATTTTTATTTTTAAATATACATCAATATCAATACATGAACAGTGTGGCCTCTGGGTATAACTCATTTTGATACAAACAGTGATAATAATAATAATAATAGTTACATTAATCAGACTTATATAATCCTAGTATTGCTATACATGATTGTTTTAGAGTAGTTATTCAATATTTCAATGTTCCATTTTAATGTCAATGATATTATTAAGCATACATACCATGTTTCCCCGAAAATAAGCCCTCCCCGAAAATATTTAAATGCATGCGCAGCCTGTCTGGTTAGGGTTAAGGAGACAGAGCTGGAAATCAGGTAAGACGGCAAGAGGAGCCCCGTCTTGTTCCATGCACCCCAAAATAATAAGATCTCCCTGAAAATAAGGCCAAGCGCTTATTTTGGGGTTCAAAAAATATAAGACAGGGTCTTATTTTTGGGGAAACATGGTAGTAATATCATCTTTCAATCTCTAATCTTTCCATCTAATTAATTACTTATTACTTATATTCTATTATATAAAAATTATATCTGCTAATATTCCCCTTATTTCTTATTTCTACCTCTAGTCTAATTTCTAGACTACTAATTACTAATCCACCATTACTAATTATTATTACATAACCATTACTAATCCTAGTGTTAATACACTTGTTTATATTAAGACATAGTTCTTCATTATTTGGTTGTTCAAAGTCACAATATGCCATTCAAGTACTAGTCATCCTATTATTTAAACATACCTAATAATACATCTTTCAACCTCCAATGTTTC